CCCCCCCCCCCCCCCCCCCCCCCCCCCCCCCCCCCCCCCCCCCCCCCCCCCCCCCCCCCCCCCCCCCCCCCCCCCCCCCCCCCCCCCCCCCCCCCCCCCCCCCCCCCGAGAAGTAAACAAAACTCTTTGCAAAACAAAACATTGACTTTGAAATTCTTTTTATTATTAGAATTATTTATAGATGAGTTAATAGGAAATTAAAAAGTTTTTGCTTTCGAGATAATTGCTCGTTACAAATTCATTCTGCTTGATCATTTGTCAAAAAAGCAGCCAGTCTACATTCAATCAAGGTTTATTCTCATGAGAAACTTGACACGATGTAATCATCCTAGAATATCGAACACGCACATAGATTCAACTATATATATATATATATATATATGTATGTATGTCTGAATATAGCAGCATAAATGCATATAACACATTAAAGACACAAAAAAAAGAAGAAAAAAATCTTCTATTAATACAAACACACTTCCTCTTCTTTCATCGAGTTATAAAGGTTGACATTTATATCAACGAATTTCTTTATTTTGAATTTTTTGTTTTTCTTAGATAAAATAAATGTTTATTTTCATTCTTGTTATATTCAAAAGTAAATATTTTTGTTTTTATTTTCCAAACGATTATCAAATATTTAAATAAAAAAGTCAGCATTGCAATAGAATAAATACGCACGCAACATATGTTTGCCAAAGTTAAAAGTCTAGTAAATCGTTTCTGTATATGTGGAGTCGAAGGTCTAAGACATCAAACCGCTACGCCTCATTACCAGTCATTTCTTACTGGCTTACTTTGATGTTCACTGTTTCCGAGCTCTTCTTATATATATATATATGTATGTATTCATCATCTCTTGTTTCCTATAATGACTTCATTCGGAATGACATTTGATAAGACTCGGGTGATGTCAGTAGCCAGATGATGATAACGAGGAGAATATGGTCTATCAACGATTGACATTCATTGTTTTTTTTTCTATGGACCCTTTTGCAGTGATATTACTTACTATCACGATATTTACAATATGTGGAATTTGCTTTTTTATTTTGATTTGTGCAATCCAACCAAAACGTTTACAGTTTGTTTTTTCTCAAAATAGATTTCTATTTCTAATAGATAATTTTTTTCTGTTTCAGGTATTTTCAACGAAAGACAAATAGAACATATCATATTACAGCGCCTGAAAAAGAACATGCAACACATAATGATGTTAATACAAATAATATTGGTTTAAGTACAAAATCCTTATCGAATGATCTTGATAAACGAGCTTATTTAAAAGTTCTAGAAAAAAGTCTACGAACAGGACGAACAATACAAGATGAAATGGAGAATACATTGTCTAATATTACTAATGACTCCCATATAGATTTAATGTATTTAGTTCGTCGATACATAGATGAACATTTATCATCAACTACAGATCACATGTCAACAAATATAAAAATTTGATTGCAAACTTCAGACTAAATGAAGAAAAGAAGAAGAAAACAGAGTGCTATTGATCATTCGCTTGCTGCCATGGTAATGGTACATTTAAATCAATGTTGCCACCACATAAAATAATAGCTACATTACGAATATTTGAATCTAATTGATCACAATGTGAAATTATAGCACCAAGTGATAAGCCAGCTGCAAGTTCAACAACCAATTTAAGTCTTTCGAATGCAAATTTTGTTGCATCAACCATGGTTTTATCGGATATAGTAAATACTTTTTTCTCAATTAATGAACACATTATTGGAAATGTAAGTGTACCACATTGTTGTAGACGACATGCTTAGACAACGAAAAAAAAAAAGAAAATTTAAATTCAAATCCAAAAATAAACAAAAAAGATATTTCATACATTCACATTTTGTTTTAAGAAATTGAGGAGGTTCAGGCCATAAACGCTCTTTTCTAGTTAAACATTCTTCAAGCATTTTTCCTTCAGGTACACAAGCATATATTCGTATATTGGGATTAATACGTTTAGCATACAGTGCAATACCACTTATAAGACCACCACCACTCACTGGTACTAATATTGCATCAAGATCAGGTACTTGTTCAAGTAGTTCAACGGCAATTGTTCCTTGACCTAATCTCGTGGAACAGTAAAAAGTTCGAATGAATGAAAAAAAATTATTTACCAGCAATAACATCTGGATGATCGTAGGGTGGTATAATTAAATAATCTCGTTCTTGACTAATCTGTAAACAAGTCGATGTTCGACTAGCTGGCGTCGGTTCACAAATAACTACTTGAGCACCGTAATATTCAATAGCATCAGTTTTATTTTTGGGTGTACCTCGAGGAACAACGACAACACACGGTCGTTTAATAATCGATGCAGCATAAGCCAATGCTTGCCCATGATTACCGGATGAATGTGTAACAAAGCCTTTCAAGTTCTGATCAACTTTCATCGCATTCAATACAGCATTAAGAGCTCCGCGACTTTTAAATGAACCTGTGCGTTGAAAATTTTCACATTTCAAATAAACATTTCTTCCTGTCGATGTATTCAGCAATGTGCTTGTTAGAATAGGTGTAATCGGTAGTGATATAGAACGAAGATGACTTGCTGCTATATGAATTTCAGCCAAGCTCGGTACTGCTTGTTCATTCATAATCAGATGAAATATTCTTGAAACAAAACAACAACAACAACAATCAAAATATTCGGTTTTTGTTTCTACTTTTTTTTTCTTTTAAGTATTTGACTGCTAATGTCTTTGTTCTTTTTTTTTCTTTTCTCAATACACACGCACACACCATTTAAGCGCATAACAAATGATATTGAAAACGAAAATATGACGAACATAAAGAGAAAGTGAGGAAAAAACTAATGTCTGTAAGAACAAGTACAGGAAAAGAAAAACGAGCTATTGACAAAAAAATCAAATAACACAATACACAGTTATATTCAAACATTTAATAGGTACTAAATCGTTGTTAGTAGTTCTTTTTTTTCTGATAAAGGATCATAATAAGATTTTTATTTTTTGTGCATGTGTTTCTTTTTATCAGTCTTTTATATACAAATATAATTGACCTAGACTGTTCTCTCAGTATGTTATTCGGTGGTTTATGATATTTGCTTTTATACAATAAATTTAAAAAAAAACATTGCATCTTTCTTTTTGTTTCTTTTCTCCGCTTCGAACAAAGCAACACGTTCAAGCACAGACAATAGCAGAAAGAGAAAGAAAGAGAATGAGAGCAGAAGAGAAAAAAAGCATAAGCGAAAGTTTTTTTTTTTAATATAATGAACAAGTTGATATAATAGACAAGAGAAAAGAGATGATTTGAAATACAATGATACACGCCAATGCACACACACACACACACACACACACTCACTCAATAACAAATGAACAATAGAGAGCAACGGCAATATTTATCCATAGTATCGTTAAGAAGGGATGAACAGTGAATTTTGTGTAGCGATTGTTTTTTTCTTACCAACACCAAAGTCACTGTGGAAAAGGAAAAAAATCAGACCATACAAAGATAGAGAACCGAATTGACAACTCTAAATTAAAGAAAAACAAAATTAAATATTATCTCTGTACATTTTTGTTATTAGAATTGTTGACGAAAGGATTAGCAAACTGAAAGTGAGAAAATTTATGTTTTTTCCCGTGATTACAAAAGACTACAAGGTTTTGTCGCCTCAAGAGACAATCATACCCACGCCCTTATCCTAGAAAAAGCTCAGACCAGTAAAAGTTCTCTGACAATCGAGTTTGCTTCATTAGATAGAAAATATTTGGAAACACATAGCTTTCGACAGGATGACTAAGAATCTAGAACAGGATTTTGATGTTCATATATTCATATCCCTCGATACACTTTACGTTAATAGACTATTATTATTATTTATCTTTGTGTGCAGTCAGCTAATAGGAATTTGTTTTGCATGATTATTAGGACTCGTCAGGTTGACCTTCACGTTTAACCTTAAGAGAGAAGCAATTAAGTTAAGATAAAATCTCGTGATCTACGCCAGATCTACATTGCCTAAAGCCAATTTTGTAATTTTCGAAATTTGATCCTCCCAGTGTAGAAAAGTCAAAACATACGATTATAATATTTCTCGTTGAAATGATAAATTATTATTGTTAATTACTTTTTATTCCTTAACATGAGATGCTCTTTTGTGACCTTTCTTTTTCAATTAGACGAATGAGATTATCTATTCACTTACATGCCGTATTTGATGTATTGAACTGTTCTTAAGCAAATAATGCCGTTTAAATAGATTATTTTCTCGTTTGTTTATTAGTTGTACGTCTTGTACGACGGTTAAAAAAACAACAACATCTAAATGATAATAAAAAACAGATATTCATTATTCAGAAGAATCTCATTAATCTCATGTTGTTTTGTCTTTTTCAATCTGAGATAATGACTTACTTTGTATCACTAATAACGTCAACATTAGCCGGAGACGGTGACGTAATGATATGTGCATGTTCTCGATCAGCACGATCAGTATCTTCATCCGGTGAACTGATTATCTACGAAATATCATAGAAATATTTGATTTCTATTTGATTAAAATAAAAATTTAAACAGAAGGAGAAGAAGAAGCTATAACCACTGTAGGATTACTATGCATAAATTTCATTAGGATGGGTAAACAGACGATGACATAATTAAATACCTGCATTGATCCGTGTACTTGCTGTGTTGATGGTGAAAGATGAGCATTTAAAAGTCCTGAACCACTTTTGCCCGTCTGAGAGAAAGAGAGATAGGGTGGGAATGGTTTTAGTTTTGTATAGATAACGTTATTGAATACAGTAGCGTTTGTTGTTTTTAGGCTTTCATGAATATTTCTGTTTCTAACTTACTTTATTTATTGGTCGTGCTGCTGGACTAGATAAAGTTTCCGGTTGAGCCGATGTTGGATTTAGAGCATTACTAACCGTAGTCTATTACAAAACGAAATAGTTGAAGTAAAAGAAACAACTACTTTTTTTTCTATTCATTACTTTGTTTGCTAATTTTTGCATTTTTTCTACCCAATCAAAATTATAATCACACACATAATTTCTAGCATCCATTAAATCTTTGAATAATTTTCTCAAGTATTCGTACTAGAACATAACAATGAAAATTACTAATAGAAATTACAAAAAATTGCTTACATTTGGAGTTTCAAAAAAGTCTAAGTTTCGTACATATTTTAAATATTTAGCAAATTCTTCTAGAACAAATAAAAATAAAGAAAATATTAAGACGTGAAACTTTTTTTTATCATACCAGGATGACTTTGACATAATACATCAATGTGTGTTGCTCGTTTAGTATCACCTATCTTTTGATAGCGTTCTTTCAATGTTTCAGCTTTTAATCCTTGCCACTAAAATTCAAAAGAAAACATGATAATTATTTCGTTCACATCATGAAAATAATTTATTTTTCCATAAAATTTTCTATTAAGTAAGAAGAATTCCGTTCAAGATACAAAACAAAATGCCTATTATGTGACTCTCTCTCTCTCTTAACAAAGAAACGTATTTGTATTATATATAAAATACACGTACGAGTGAGAGTCCATGAGAGTATCAAGGATACCACCAGCATGCGAAGCACTCGATAAAAAATTTTATTTTTATTTTATTAGTGCATTCGAAAATTTCATGTGTGAAACTAGTAACCTGAAAATTTTAGCTTCTAATACCGTTCTTTCGAAAAAGGAATAAAACGTTTTGATCCCGATACTTGCCTGAGGAGGAGCACAGGTACAAAAAAAGAATTTCTTTGCTTATAATTAAATAGTAATTGTCTGAAATGATAGAGGTTGAAAAGCTGATCATAATCATATACTGTAATCATAAGATTTATCGTTATATATGACGATAAATAATCTACTTTCATGCTACATTTTATGCTAAATCTGTTGCAGATATCACATTGAGAACTGATTTTTACCGTATAATAATCGATTATGTTAAGGCTACAATATATGGTTGTGATCAGGTTTTCAACCTCTATCATTTCAGACAATCACTATTTAATTATAAGAAAAAAAATTCTTTCGAAATTTTCCGTTATTCCTGTACTCCTCCTCAGGCACGTATCGGGGTCAAAACTTTTTATTCCTTTTTCGAAAGAACTATCTCTGCTATTATATTCATAATAAAGTTCTAATATAGTATACTCGTATTTTTTGAATATGTTTCTATGGTTTTGTACAGAATTAAAAGTTCTACAAACCTATGCAAAAAATGCTTGGGTCCGCTTAAATTGAAGAGATAAAATCAAATATACTGTAAAAACCAGGCGTGAAAAATTCTGTCAGTGTCTACACTTGTTGCACTGAATAATACTCTCAAAAAGTAAGTGATATACAAAACTTTAAACATCTATCCTTTTTCAGCTCAGAATGACCTATCTTTTAACGTATTCCTTTAAAGATTTGGATGATCTGTTGAAGCACAAACAGACATAAATGAAACGAGCAATTTTCATTGTTTTTTTCTCGAAAAAATACAATAGCTCTCACAGTCGTCCTTATGTAACTTTTCATAGGAACGGTATTAGAAGCTAAAATTTTCAGGCTACTAATTTCACATATGAAAGTTTCGAATGCACTAATAAAATCAAAAAAAATATTCTATCGAGCGCTTCCAATCCGTGATGACCTCTCTCATAAATAATAATAATTTTATTGTGAATTAGTTTTTATTCTTCTGATGCATAAGAAAATCTTACCGGTAGACTACCACGTAAAAAATACATGAACATATGCCCTAATGCTTCCAGATCATCGCGACGACTTTGTTCTAGAAAAGAATACGCGTTTATATATTAATATAATATTAAAAAAGCAACTATTTAACCTTTTCCAAGATGAGTATTAATGCTCATATATCTCGCCGTACCTAGAAAAGTAAATTAACATAGGAAAAACGATGTTTTTGATTAATTCAACAAACCCGTTAAACTTTTATGTTCTCGAAATGGTATATGTCGACCAGTATCAGGATCGATATATTCTTTCGCTAACCCGAAATCAATAATGTGTATTAAATGTTGTTTACGTGTCGATGAACGTCCGATAAGAAAATTTTCAGGTTTAACACTGTCAAAGAAAAAAAATAATACAATCATGTTTTTAAATCATTTCGAAAAACTTACTCGCGATAAATTAAATTTTTTGAATGAACATATTCCATACGTGTTATCTAGGAGGAAAAAAATAAGTTAATGATACAGATTTATCTCGATCGTAGAAATGAATTCATACTAATTGAATAGCAATCATAAGGACGGTTTTTAGTGTAAATTTTCGATCGCAATTATCAAATAAATCTTCAAGTGATGGTCCAAGTAATTCAATAACTAAAGCATTATATTTTCCACATGGTCCAAAATAATGTACTTGTGGCATTCCCTCTAAATAAAATAATTCACGTTCTAAATAGATCATATCTTTTGCTTTTCTCATGACATACCACAAGTTCCAAGCTGCCGATAAAACCGGTATTCCAAGTGAAGTTGTGGTGCGCGAGATTTCATAGGTTCCTAAACAGAGAGACAGAGAGACAAAAACAAAATTAGTCACTTTTTTAGTTAGATTTGTTAAACTCACGAGTTTGATTGCTACATGTTCATTATTATACAAATTTTTACCTAAACGGATTTCTCCAAAATTCCCAGCTCCTATTCGCTTGCCTACACGAAAATTAGGTCCAACCATAAGCATAGCACTAGGACCGGAACTAGCTCCAGGAATCACTGATGTTGTTTCATTGGATTTATCTATTGTACTTGATGCTAAACCCGGTCCACGTCCACTAGTACGTTGATCATTTCCTATTACTGATGTTTGTAATGTTGAACTGTTTTGTTTTAGATTAGAACTACTATGGTTTGTTATTTCATTTTCGTCCATTCTTATCGTAATATAGTAAATGAAAGTGATGACACCATGTATTCTGAAGAATAAGAAAATAATTAAATCTTCAAATAAGAAGAACAATGCAATGTAAATATCGAAGGTGATATGATTTTTTTGAGTACGACTCCAAGAATGCAATGATACTCGACTAATCAATCATTGAATTCAATTGACCAATAATACATTTTTGTTTAAAAATAATAAATCGCAAATAGATGGAGTCCAACTACTTATTAACGACATCTATTTTTGAACCATCAAATCCAATGCTTGGTAACAATGTTTAATCGTTGATGGAAATGAAAGAAATATAGAAAAAAGATTTATTTTCGTAACGAACTTAAGGCGCCTCGGTGGTGAATTATGACTGATAATATTAATAAAATATTACAAAATAATGATGGAAATAAGCAGCAACCGACAGCTGCTTCTATTATGAATTTAACAGATAATGGTAAGACGTGATGATTTTTATTGTCATTTCAAGGATCTATTGTATTTGAAAAGAGAACAGACAAAATATACACATGAAATAGGGTACTTGTATCAAAACATCTGATGTCTTTTACAGACGAGACAAATATGTAAATATTTTTTAGACGTTTAAAAATATCCTATTGAGCAGACTAATCAAAATGTTTTTGCAGATGATCAACGGTCAAAACATGTTATCGCATGATATTATTAAGAGTGTTGTTTACTTTTTTATTGAATCGATCCGTTGTATTACATTATGATAATGAAGGATGATAATTTTTCGATGGTTTCGACAGGTTGAAACCTTATAAGATTCGTGTACAGGTATTGATCAATCGAAGGGAGTGCTTTTGAAGAAGCCAAAAGACAAGAGGAGAATTGTTTTTTCTCTTTGATGTGTATTTTGTTACAATAATTTATGTAGTTTTTTTCCTTCTTCGGGCTTAATAACCTAACTAACGGATCTATCTATTGAAGAATTTTTCCCGCATTATTATTAAAAATATGTTTCCTTTTCCCTTTTGCGTCTAAAATAAACTATTTTGATATTTATTTCTCTGTGTATCATTGAAGTAGGACTAGTATTTCATTCAGAGTTTCTCTTCCGCACAGGTAGTAAATCGCAAACCTTGAAACGTTGACTTTCTTTGACTGAAAAAAGAAAAGTTTCGAAATCTTCTATAGGTTGTAAATTGGTTGAGAAGATAATTTCATACAATGTAAGCTTATGATTTAACGAACTCAAGTTTCGGCATTGAATTTTACTCAAACTTTGAGTACACATATTTCTTTAATCGGTCTATGCAAGTAAGATAAACAGGATGGCAAGGTTAGATCTTGCAGCATGATTAATTATTTATAGAAACGTTTGTTTCTTTTTTCTTTTAAAGAATAATAAAAAAAACTTAATTGTAAAAACAGACGCTTTAGTTTCGCATTCTCTTGCAAACAATAAAGACGTTGGTGGTAATAATCAAGTGCGTTCGAAACTTATGATGTATAGGGTCAGAAAATGTAACGAGTACTTGTTTCTTCGGGCATAAAGTCATCAGAATATTTTGCTTCTCTTTTCAAGCATCTATATCGATGAATCAAGTTTTGCTTTGTTTGTTTCTTCTTATTTAAAAAGTACATCTGTATTCTTTTTTCTGTATCATAGATGTAGTTAAAATATGGGATAGCGTATCGGCTTTTATTGAATCTTATATGAAACAATCAAAAGTAAGATGAAAATGATATTGATAAAATTTGAATTACTTCTGAAAATTAATTAGGGTATTATAATTCCGGGTTTTGGTACATTTAGCTTCATACATAAACGTATTGATGTTGGAAATAATAAATTTTTACTTCTTCAAAGACCTGTTTTTTCTATATCTGAAAAATTTGCTCAAACACATGGCTTAAAATTCACACGCTACACTGTAAATGGCTCAATACCAGTTCATCCATTGAATTATTCTTCTATACAACAAACAAACACAATATATAAACGTGATCAAGTTGAGCAATGTGTTAAACACGTTTTGCAAATATTCAATCGTTCTATAGCTGGACAACGTAATGTTGAATTTACATTTTCACATATCGGAAAATTACATATACGAAATGGAAAAGTTAAAATGAAATTTTTTAAAGATTTTATTAGCACTGTTGATGAAAATGCTGGAAAACATATTATTGAGAATATGTGCAATGTAAGAGGCCGTAATTGATTTTTAATAGAATGAAAAATTAAATATTATTATAATCATTCAGAGACCATATACATGCGATTCAGTGATGTCAGATCGAGACGGAGCTCGACCATCAACATCATCAAATGTTGTTCTTCCAAGGTACGTCGATACTAAGCTGTATTTTTTTTAAATATTTCCTGTCCTATCGAGATCAGTACTAGTTAATGTGTGTGATGCTCATAATGACACTATCCAACTCTAATCCAGACAATAAAAACATATCTATATTTTCCTGTAGAATAAACAGTCGCATTGGCGCTTCATCAATGCAAGTCATTCAAGAAGAAAATCAAGCTGGTGATGATGATGAACAAGATCATGTTAAACAAGAACCGTCGTCGCGTAAAAGTAAATCATACGATAGATTATGTTGTTTTATATATTTTATTGATAAAATGAAAACTATTTCTTTATTTAATAAAAATATTGTTCTAGTTAAGAACGAAGCAACTCGTTCAATCTCTAGAAGCGATGATTTTAAATTACCACCTCTTATGGAAATATCTGGAGGTAGAAAATTTCAATGCACACATTTTATTTTTCTGTGTGATCATCACATCTTAAATAATATCTATAGAAACGAGTGAATTCTATTCTATTTAGCATTTATTTTCCGGAAATAGAGATCAATCTGTCATAGAACGGAAAGAAGCAATAGTCGGAACCTTCTGCTTTCTTTTTTCTTCGCTTAGTGTGATCGTACTCGTTTTCCTTTTCTTCATTGCACTTATATTTTGATGTCAAAAAAGAACTCTGTTCGTTGTCAATCGTCCATGGGACGAATTGATTATTCAAATAGATCAATTTTATATAATTCTCATATAGAACCAACGAATTCAACGGGAACAGCATCACTATCATCACATGTAATAAAAACAACTGGAATAGGAAATTCACTCGATGGCGTTATTCCCATCGCATCACTTTTTTCTTCAGCGGATTTTATTCAACCACCGGTAACGATAAAAAAGCCATCACCACCTTTAAGTCCAATCAAACGATCAACATCAATAAATCAAACTGAACATGAACATGAACATGAACAAGCAACAGTGTAAGATAGAGATAGTTTTGGTTTTGCAGAGTCAAAGAGAAAAAAGACGAATTTCTACTCTTAGAAATCCGCCCATAAATCGTGCTATTGTACGATCAACAAATGAATCTCAATCTTCATTGGGTTTTACTCGTTCGGGATCAGATCGTATAAATGTACGTGATCGTATATCATCATCATCATTAAATGTTTATACTCAACAATATCAACATGTAATACCTAAATCGACGACATCATGTAGTCAACATGATATGAGTCAAGAACTTTGTCAAGCATGTCATCAACGTGCCAAACGAAATATTCCCGTTTATTTACAAGAAGAAAAACGTATTCGTGAAATGGATGAAGACAAAATCCTTCAAGAATATCAACATAATTTATATCTTGAAGATAAAAATAAACGAGAAGTAAATTACAAATAGAAATTTCATTTTTTTGAAAAAAAAACGTTCTCCATTTGATAGGCAGCAAGAAAAGCAGCTCGAGAAGATAAACAACGGTTAGATGCTGTATGTAATTGAACATGAATTCGAATAGAAAAATCAAGACATGCCTTTTCTTTCTGTTTTCGTTTTTAGTTCAATTTAGGTATTGCACAAGCAACACGAGCTAAAAAACTAGAACGACCGAAAACTACAGATATATCGGTTAGAATGACTTTTTCATGAAACAAATGAAATTTTTATTTTTTGGTATTTCAGCGCTCAATAATATTTCGAAAACGTGTTAAAACACCTCCTGGTTATCTTCGACAAAAAGATTTAGCTCAACAATTAGAAGCTCAAATAAAATCAAAACAAGAGGAAGACCATTCAGAAAAAATAGATAAAGAATTTGCTGAACGTCTCGAACAAATACAATTAGCTGAATCGTATATTGAACTCTGACGGTTTCTTTTCTTCTAAATGAAATTTACTAATTTAGATTGACACAAGAACGAGAGAATTATTTGAAAAATAAGCGTCGTCGTCAAGAAGAATTAAAAAGTGCTTTACAGAATCAAGTAATGTCATCTTACTCGAGAGGGTATTTTCTATTCTGTAAATTAAAATTAGATTCAAAATAAGCCTACGGAATTACCGTATTGTGAATCTGAAGCACCATATTTTGGTTTGAATGATATGTCGCTTGAAAAATTAAAAGAACGTCGTCGCCAAGCAATCGAAATGGTTCGCCAACAAAAAGATCTTGTTGAACAGCGACAACGACAACAATTATTGGAACAAATAAATAATCAAGAATATGAATTAAAAGTCTTGCATACGATGAAAGAAGAGTATGTTTTTAGTTTTTTTTACAGAATATCAAAAGAAATCTATACTTTTTGCTTGTTTTGATGTTAGTCTTCTATCAGAAAGGCACGAAAGAGAACGTCGTGAAGTAACAATACGTAAAGATCTTGAAACAGATTGGTTACACGCTACAGATGAAAAACGTAAACGTGATGGAAATGAAAAAAAACATTTAAAAGCTCCGCAAGGTACTCTCATACACGAACAGTGCGATCAATATAAACGATGTGTTCAATGCCAACGTAATTTGAATAACTCTGGTAAAAATAATTTTTGGAAAGATACACGGTATATACCTGGAACTCATATCATGGTTTAAATTTGAACTGATACATGCGCATTTCCCGGTTAGCCTGAATACGAAAACAAAAACATCGATGTATCGATGTTGAATAACTTATTTTTATTTATTTATTTATTCTTATTCTGATAAATAAAATACACAATGGATTCCAGAGATCGATTGATTTGAACAGTTCTTTTTTTCATATTTTTAGAAAAACAAGACAATTTGAAGGGGTGTAGATCAGAGATGTCCACAGGGCCAATTTTATTGTCCTGCCCTGCCCTGCTAATTGAGACGAATTTTTTTCATGTTTAAATTCAAGTTTAAGTAATCTTTTTTATTTGAAAAATAGTTCAGCAAATAGATATATGAGCAACAAATAATAAACTAGCCCTAATTGAAAAAGTTTATATGATGATATTGCATCATCACTGGTGATCTATCAGTAGGTCGACTTTTCCACCTAACCCGCTACTTGGGTTTTGGCGTCGAAAATCAGGTTTTCAAGTTTTCAAAAATTGTATTTTCTAACCAAGAAATTTAAAACGAAAATACAGAGTAAGATACCATTCGATGCAGAATTTGATTCTTTACAAAGTGGCCTGCTAATTGTTTACTCACATTCTTCAGGACAACTTCTAAGCTTTTATACAGTTTCTAACAAATTACTATACAATTATTGAGCTCGTATTTCGATGTAGCAACTTGATTTTTTTACAGAAGGATATATGCAGGGCAGCGATCAATATATATATAAACATTGAATATTTTTAAGCATGTTAAGTGTTTCAAATTTGGTCGACAAAAAAACGTGTCACAGCGTTATGTTTGTTTTTGCATTTTTAATCTGAGCGAAAATAGTTGAGAAAAAATATTTTTTACTGCTTGAAAGCCCATTCAATTCTCTACAAAACTGGTATCATAAGCATTTCATTTGAAGAAATGATTTGCCGAAAAATTAGAGCTTTATAAGCAGCCCTAGAAAAAAAAGGGTCCTTTTCTGTCACAGTGTTATGCGATGATAAAACCTTTCTAGAAGCGCGAGAGTTCAGTCAAACTAGGCCATTCTTTCAGCATAAATAGATTATGATAAGCTGCGTCAAATGACATTTGAACGGCCTGATTAGCTCTTATGCCTTTCGAGATAATTGCAAAACAATTTGTCAAAATGTCACAGCGTTAAGTTTGGACAAGGCGAGATATATTTAAGGAAGAGAGAATAGAAACTTCATTTTCATCACCAGGAGAGATAGATGAAATATCAGCACATGAATCTATCGATGATGTTAGCGATGCATATTTTTATTAAAATAATAAGAACATGAGCAACTATTACAATTATATTTTAAATATATATATGTGCCCTATTATCACTTATGATTCCTTTGTTATTTTCTTTTGCTTTCTTACGAATTTGATTGGATCCCATAGGGTCATCATACAAACACAAATATAACAATCTATTTACCATTTAATAACGCCATCTGAATTTCTTAGTTTCTTTCACGTTTCCGAGAAAAATAAAATTGTTGTTATTTTTGAACTAAGTAGGTATGTACAGAATTTGCAGGACATGAAGATATAGTCCCGCCCGTGGACACCTCCGGTTTGCACAATCTTCAAAAAACGCCATTCTGAAGTATGCACGAAATTGACAGAATGTTATGAAAAGTGTGTTAGTCATTAATACATACACCTTGTTGACAACATGTTGTTCTTTTTTTTTTTTATATATAAATGAAAAATAATCAAGATAATGTTCAAGAATAGCAAAAAACGGAATTAGAATTCTGGAAGTACATGAAACCGGTGACCATTACGTTCGATGAATTATCGTGTCGACATTTGTGGGGTGATGTCAATTAATTTTGCAAATTTGAATTCCTATTTGATGACAGTTATTTATAGAGAAATGTATGGAGAATCAAGAAACTTTCATGATGAAAGATAAACAATGATCTTCAATACTTAGAGTGTGGTGGGTGTGTCTGAAGAGATGAGTAGATACGCACTCATACTGACAGAGAAAGTCACATCCACGACGTTTTTAGTGTATAGTATATTTCATAGAATGTAAAAGCACTGGTGCCGGTTATCTTGAAAAACAATGTTTATCAAATTTCGATCCACGAAGTCATCGAACAGGTCGTAGCATAATTGTCAATATTTGCTGATTCAGTATTAGTTTACCTAAGTGTCGACTTTGCTCTGTTTTTTTTTGAGAAGTTGGAAAAAACCTTCATTGACAGTCAACAAACTGAATCATATTCCATTCTTTTTATTGATTTTTTCTGGACAAAATGAAGCAGTCGTTAAATGTCTCTTGTGTAGAGGTGTCAGCCGCCGCAGCAGCCAATTTTTCTATAATATTAGCCACCGCAGCCACCAAATTGCTGGTAATTTTAAGAATTTTCGGGGAGCCGCCGCTGACATCAATACATATGCGATCGAATCGAACATTTTTCTTTTAATTTTCATCAGTGAATTTTTAACTCAGCCGCCGCCGTCACATAAGGACTTGCAAATATCAGCCGGCACCGCTGCTGTGAAAAACAAAATTAAGAATTTGTATCAGCTGTCGCTGAAGACATTACTCATTCAAATAACGAGCCGCTGGAAATCTTTAAAAATTGAAAATTGTTGCCCGCCGCTGCGGTTCAATCCTTCGGCTGATACCTCTACTCCTGTGCAAGAGCATAGACTTTTCGCGACAAAAAGTAACGAGAAAGAATTTACATCAATCAATTTTTTCTTGTCTTAACAATAATGATTCATGCAATAAAACACACGCTGTATTATTGGAAACAAGCGATACGGCGAAAAGGCGACTATGAAGTGTGGAGTGCAGACGTATTTTTCATGAGAGAATTTTTCAAAAAAAAGTTACTCACGACACGTTTCATTCTTGTTATAGATTCATCAGGTAAGTTTAGCATCTAATTACTGCATATCAATCAAATGACAAATTTCATAAAAGTTCTATGAAAGCCAGAGACCATCAACGAACTTCCAATAGAATTTTGAAATTGATTACTATAATCTAAGAAGAAAATATTATAGACATCAGAGTAATTCTCCACGAAGTTTGCTTTTCAAGAGAGAAACCTTAGAAGGGTATGTACTGCAATCATGATATCGATATTTCATCTCAGCAAAGATTCAATTCAGAATCAGACAAAAAATACTGAGTTGAACGTAATGATTTCTGGCGTTTTTAAAGACTTTGATTTTGTGACTAATTTTGGTCGCATACTAGATTAAAGACTTTTATGAAAAAATAAAATGAACTAAATCAGTTATCGTGGAATCTGATGCATTTCTCCATGATAACATACTTGATCAATACTAAAAATGACTCCTCCAGATCCAGTTTTTCGTAGTGCATCTAACCATATCAGTTTTACGAAATACATGAAACGTAAAGTATTTTTTAAGTTGAAAAAACTTGTCTGATTTTCATACATAAAAACCTACTATTACAAAATTAGATCTTTTGGGACACTAAAACAGTCTTTTTTCCTATCGAAAAACTTCAAGAAAAAAATAATCAAACACATATTATCACTCAGTCCTACGAGCTCTATCTAACCATGGATAAAACAAGAAGAACAAACTTTGTTTGAATTTTGCATTATTGGTACTTTGGAGTCTTTCATATAATAGCTTTCGTCAAAATTTGTCAATACTCAGCTTCGTCATTATTTCTCTTCTATCATTAACATTCATTAATCTCTCTAAGTTTACCAGTTGCTCGTCTGGGTAGTAACATCGTTTTTGTTTCCTCCTGTAAGTGAGATATGACTATTTTATTTAAACTTCTATTGATAAATCGTAGAGAAAAACAGAGACAGTAATCCGGATCCTTTATTGCATAATGTTTTCTTCTTATCATTGCGAAACTTTCCCTCGCTTGTTTCTACTTTCTCAACAGTCACAATTCCTCGATAAAGTTATGACTTAAATAAAGTTGTTTATAGAGGCTTACATGTAGAGCCAATGTGAACAATATCAAAGATATTTCCATGAGGGATCAGATACGTACGTCCCAAAGTAGGCATACCGCAAATTATCTTGATTATTCACAGATAGCTTTAATACCATCCGCAAAGCAGTGATATTAATAGAAAACAATGTGGATGCTCTTTATTCACTGAGGGTATGCTTTCGATCGTTATAGTAGATTAAAAACATACTGGCTGTCCAATTTACTCACTTCAACCAAAATTATTCTAGAAATTATTCATGTGTAATTAATTTTCAAACTAACATTAAAATATATATTCATAAGATTTTCTTTCTTTGCACTGCACTGATAAAACAATCCAGGTAATGATCTACCACTGTACTTAAAAAAGTCGCCATTAAACCCTTGAAGGGTTTATTCCGATGTGATGAACCCTTTTAGCGTTTATTAGTCGAAGGGTTTATGAAAACTCAAGGGGTATATGATGGGCACATAATGATTCATTATTCTACGATTTTAAGATAAGAGTATATCCTTCAACGGATGATCGTAGATTGTTGTTCGCTTTCAGGGTAGGGGTATTTATTCTTCGTTATCGGGTTTACTATTTTACTTTTTCGTTGAAAGGGTACATCACTCTGCCTTTCTGGGTAGAGTAAGCTATCCTTCTCAGAAACAGTTCATTATTCTACGTCTAAGCGTAGATTCTACTAATATTTCCTGCTAAGGGTTTAGTATTCCACGTTCAACAGTTGATTCATCTGCATCTTAATCAAAAGGGTTTAGTACTGTGCGTGAATGCTCGATTCTATGCCTCTTCATTGACAGGTTCTTTTATTCGACTGACAAATATCGGCTACTCTGCCTTAGCATCTCAAGGGATAGTTTTATCGTCGGTTGATAGTTGATTCTACTTCTCTTTTCTTGAAAGAAGTTCGTTGTTCATCGTACAGGTGTTGACATTTCCGTTCTTTCATCGAAAGGGTTTATCATTCTACGTAGAGAGATCGATTGTTCTATTGTTTGATCTGAAAGGTTCATTACTCTACGCACAGTGGTTGATTATTTT